AGCCAACAACAACTCTAAAATGATTAGGCCACACACTGAAATCGTATGAAATGGGAGAAAGCCTGACTCTATTCAGTATGTTTATTCCAGTTAAATGTGCATAGGACCACAACGCTCCCATTAAATTGTCAGTAGCTGAAACAAAATTGATCTTCATGGCCAGATCAATTCTATACATTTCTCCTTTGGCAGGCAACATTTTGGTAAGGATTCTGTAAATTTTAAGGCTGTGCAAATCCTTCAGAAAAAGTGTTTTGCAACACATGGGGGCACATTTGAAGCACCTCTCTTTAAATCATTAAAGCAGCCATATCTTATTTCAGGCTTGCATAACTGTTTCATAAGCCCCTCTGAGTTTTAATGCAGGCGCATATACACATACAGCCACAAACATACAAAGGCAATAAGAATCAGGCTGCTAAGCAACCACACAAGCCTTAAAAAGACATAGTTGTTTTACTGACATAAAAATATGCTTCATATGTGCTTCTGTACATTATGAAGCACTTTTTTCTCTGGATTTGTACTGCCCTACTAATACCCTAACCCTAACCCTCACGTAATATCCTAAGCCAAAATCAAACTATATTATCACTTAGTGTGATTGGTAAATCCATTTCCTTGAGGACTTTGGGTAAAAAGGAAACATTCCAAGACAAACACTATCATCTTTACAATTCAATTTCAGGTACATGTTAGTCCATTATAAGGAAAAAGGACAAGGGAAACTACAACGTTATAGTATCAGGATCCCTAGCAATCTGCTCTAATCATTACAGAGGGAGGAATCAAACAAGAGGTTGCCATGCTTGGAAGCAACTTCAAGTTCTCTTCTAATCTTTAATTCTACTCAGTGTCTTTGGGAAGGAGGTCTTTCACAAAATATAGAAAGAAAAACTGCAATTAAAAGGATGGCTTTATATGAAATAAATACACAAACTGGTGGGTGAGGTTATTGGGATTCTGGGAAAGCCGTTGGTATGCTGATAACATACTACTTCATTCTGCTATAGCATCTAGGGCAGTATGTTTAAAAAAGTGCTGAATCTGTCTGGATGCTGTAATGGATGGAATAAAGGCCAAAAAATAAAAATTGACAAGACAGAACTACTACAGGCAGGTAATTCTCAGGTCCAAGAAATTGGGATTTTTCCCCCTCTTTTGGGGTCTAGTATGCAATGTGTGGGAGGGGAGAGCATTCTTAAATTCAACCTGTTAGCAGGACTGTTGGTCCTGTGGCATGAAATGTCTTTTGAAAGCCTTAGTCAGCTCCGGTCATGGTGAACTGCCCTCTCAACCTCCTTACCAGATATTATATGTGGTGCTATTCTGGAAATGGATTTGAAGATTCAGCTGATGCAGATCATGGCTGCCAGTATTAACTTAATAAGTCCAGGATCATGACTGCCTGTTCTCGTTTCCATCCAAGGCATTTTTAAAGGACTAAATGGCTTGGAACTCAAATACCTGAAGGAATGCCTGTCCATGCCTTTATGGTTTTCTACAGAGGCCTTTCTTCCAGTGCCTCCATTATCGAAGGCAGGTTAAGTAACGAGAGGAAATATATTCTAAGCATGAGGATTGCTGCTATGGAATTCCTTCCTCAAACCCTGAACCCTGCTTATGCCCAAGTTGAATCTTTTTTTCAGTTTCAGGCAAGAATGCTCAACACTTACATCACTGCCACAATATATATTTTTTTAAAGTTAAAGCTTTTATCTGCTAAATTATTGGTTTGGGAGATAATTAGTTGTACCTTGAATCCTTAGAGATATTAGTTTGTGAAGAGTTTTAAATAAAATACCTTGAAGTTAAAGATTGGCTCTGATTCCATACCTTTCAGATCTCTGGTTTACTTGAACGAAGCACATTATAAATATAAAACCAATAAATCAATGCATGCAGGGGTAGGATGAAAAATCTTACCTTGCTTGGAAATAGCAGAGAGTTTGTTTAATAGGATAGAAATCTTTTCCTCAGAACAATGATGTAGAACCCTTGAAAGAATGTAAAGATCTGCTTCGGGAAGATCATCTTTGAAAATGTCACCTATTGGAAAGTGTGTTTTCATTAGTTTCCAAAAAAGTGTCTACATTTTCAACAGCTTTGTAACCAGAGTGAAACATGAGATATAAATCAAATAAATATATAAATAAGCAAGCAAGCAAGCTTCAGAGGTGTGCAGAACAGATACACATTTTTTGGAGGAATGAAAAGGTTTCACCCTTGTATTATTCTAAATAAGCTCAGGGCTACATTTAACATAATATGCAGAGATTCAAAATAATAGTGGTCAGGCTGTGTCAATTTCATGTAATTTAGCATTTCAACATTTAACATTTCCCCACCAATTTCTAGATAAGAAAAATCATGCTAAGCAGTCCACTAACAAAAACTATATAAATAACTTTATTGTGGTCATTAACCAGCACAAGGGAATTGGTATCCAAATATCCAAAACTAAATTGACAGTATCAGGATAATTAGG